AACTTCACAGAACACCTCTTACATCTGTGCTCGGCTGGAGATACAGCGATGCTCGAGCGAGCAGAATCCTGCTCCCGTGGAGGTTAATTTCATCACCAGCCAGCTCTCTAGGTGGCCAATCCCTGCTGACCCAAATTGGAATGTGTGAACGGGTCAGCTTCTTGATTATAAACAACAAGACCCATTCTGCCTCATTTAAACAGAAAAAGAATCTGCTAAAGGGTATCAGGTGGCTCCCAGACTCTCTGGGAAGGGCAAAACATGGGGCTTAGAGGCCACACAACAGGAACGACGCCCAAATCACCCTTCTAGGCAGCGCCAGTGTGGTGCCTTGGCCCCCATCACTGGTCGCCATTGGAAGCACCGCTGTGGACACACAGCTGGGTCGTCTGCCGCTGTCTTTGAGGGCAGTGTTCTGCTCCCCCCGTCATCAGAGTCATTCCCACACTGGCTTTGCTCCTCATCGTACTGCTTCTGAGTCAAAGTCTAAAAGCGGCTGGGTCTCTTCCCTTGTTATTCCAAGTATGGTCTGTGGATCAGCCGCACTGGATCTCCCAGACCTACTGATCCAGATTCTGCATTTTGACAAGATCCCTGGGCGAGCTGAGTGCTCAGCCAAGGCTGAGAAGCCCTGCTCTACACCCCCACCCTGGAGAGAGGTAACTCAGTGGCACAGACCCTCCCCACTCACCAGAGTAACAGCCCCAGAAACACAACACGCAAAACAGAGCACTCAGGTGTTAACGAGGAGACGAAAACAGGAGCAAAGGAAAGTTAAGGGCACTCAATTTTGTGACTGATGAAAGAAATACAACGATATAGGGCCAAGATTGATTTTCTTTTTAACGGAAAATGTACAAAGATTATGTCTGGACACCATGGAGGGTTTTTTATTCGTTATATGTGATCCTTCAACTAGACTTGGTGGCATCTGGAAGAGCTTGGAGCAACGTGGATCATTTGGTCTTCGACACACAGGAAACTCCTGCCTTTTTTCATTAATTTGACTCAGTTGCTGCAATTTGTGAATCAACCATAAGAAAACGGACTTGGAGAAGTAAATTGGTTTTTACCCTAAATTTCCAAAAAAAGATCCTGCAAGCACAAAGAAAAACATTCTCTTGAAAAAGACATAAAAAGTACCTGTTCTCTTCCTGGTACCGAAGTGTTCAGAAAACAAAATAACTCGCTCTCTATGCATAAGCTCTCTTGAAATTCAAGAGATTAAGAGGAAGAGATGTGTGGTTTTGTGGTTTTGAATGTTCTTACAAGTTTAATACCGAATTTTAAGCAGGAAAATTTATATTTTGTTGGATTCTGTTTTTTTGAAATTTGAAAAATGAGAAAGTGAGAAAATGAGAGGGTTTTGTGATCCAAAAGTTAAACACGGCCTAGATGAGCATATTTTTACTGTGACATAGAGACAGAAAGTAGACGCGTGGTTGTCAGAGGCTGAGGGCAGAAGGGAATGAGACTGCTAATGGGTATGAGATTTCTTTTTGGGGCGATGACAATATTCTGGAATTAGATAGTAGTGAAGGTTTTTTCCACAACCTTGTGAATATACTAAAAACCACTGAGTTGTATATTTTAAAATCATGAAATTTATGGTATATATATTTCAATTAAAAAAGGTAAAGAGAAGTTTACAGGCATAATAAATGTTAGGAACCTAATGTATGAGTAAAAATAAATCTTAAAATTACTTGGGAAATAAAAGTTTATTCAATGAATAGTATCAAAATATTTAGGCATTGAGTTGAAAAAATAGAGCAAGTTTTGTTCTGCCTGCTATTTAAACAAATAAATACAGTATTTATATCCTTATGCATAAACATAAAAATTAAAATCTGTAGATAAATGAAAAGAGAGAAAGAAAGGAAAGAAGTAAAGTGCCTGGAACACTGGAATATTCGGTAGGTGGTTGCTGACATTACCATGGCAGAGTGGGTGTTTTGGCACTTGGCAGTATTGGGTCTGGTAGAGAAAGAGCTGGAAAGAGAACGTGGGAAGGAACAGAAGGAAGACCCCTGGAGAACCATGTAGGCACTGCCCTCCCCTCAGTATTACAGCTAATTAACACTCGTGTGTCACTCATGTCTCATGAGTACAAGCAGGGATTTAAGATCCAGAAGAAATGCACATAGAAATGTTAAGACCCCTCAGGCCCAAAACTCAATTACATAACACCCCCGTTAGCAAGTGACCAAGGCAAACATCCCAGCGGCGTCGTGTGGGTACCACGTGCCCCGACACGATGTGAGGAGAAGCCACCTCAGCTCTGTGGTATTCTTTCCAGAAACCCATCACCCCAGCCTAACCATAAAAACAGTATCAGACAAACCCAAATTGAGAGACCCGCTGCAAAACCTCTGACCAGTACTCTTCAAAACTGTCAAAGTCATGAAAAACAAGGAAAGACCAAAACTGTCACAGACTGGATGACCCTAAGGAGACATGACAATTTAATGCAATGTGGTGTCATAGACGGGGGACATGAATGGGAAACTGGGGGCATCAAAATAAAACGTGGAGCTTAGTGAGTAGCAACATACCAATGTTGTTTCTTAGTTTTGACAAAGGTACCGTGATGACGTAAGACGTTAACAATAGGGGAATTGGATGAGGGGTATATGGGAACTCTTGGTACTGTCTTTGCGACTTCGCTGTAAATCTAAAAGTATTCTGAAATAAAATACACAAATATGATTTTTAAAAACTCAATTTCATGGCAAAGTGGCTGGCCACTATGGAAGTGTCATCAATAGATATCATAAACTCCCAGATTAAATTTAGATCATCACAAAATGTGCCCAACGTTCCCATAACACTTAGAGATGAGCTATCTCTGTTCCTTCCCCGGAGCTGGCCCCCCTGCTGTCAACTCATCCTCGGGCAGTGAGTAACGCTGCCTCTGCTCGTTCTAACGAACCATTCCCTATAACAGCATGAGCTTCCAGCCAAGCACACACCTAACCTGGTACTTCAGTCACAGGAAGTGCTGTGCTCAATACCCTCAGGTAGGCAGCCGTTATGTGTCACTCTGTGAGGGTGTTGGGAACAAAAATATCCCCTCAGCAGCACTCCCACAATATCTGCAACAATGTAAAACTCGGTTCCTGGGTACACACAGTGGGAATACCCCCTGTCGATATTGGCCAGTCACATCTCTATGTTGGCACATATTCACTTCTCCTTTTGGGGTGAACAAGGAGCTGTGACACCTAGGTCCCCCTTAAAAGAAGGACTTGTTGCCCCAGTCGTCAGCAAGCAGCCTCCAGCTGCAGCTCCTTCCGGATCTGCCTCAGCTGCACACACCGTCTTGCCCAAGAGCACCCTCTCCCATCCAGCCCACATCTGATGACTGATCCCGTGGTGGGCCCACATAAAGGCCGAACCATCTCAGCCCAACAGGGATGACTTAGATGGACCCTGGATGCTCCAGGGCTCCCCAGGGTGGGCTGAGGCCTTGTTAGGCCTGCACTGCAGTTCAGTTTCTCTGCCTAGTCCTGCTTTCGCCCCTTCCCCTCCACAGGTGTTGATCCCTAATAAACATCCCTCATGCATCTCTCAGCATCTGCTTCTGGAGAAAATCTGTGACATCTTTCTTGGGGTGGGGGTAGGGAAACAATAGCTTCAAGATGACCAGTTGGACAATCTTTTATTCTGATTTATCAGCCTCCTTTGCAGTTAGGGTAGAGCATGTGACCCAGTTCTAGCCGATGAGGCATAATCATAACTCTATTGGGAGACAGAGGGACATTTGTGAAGAAAGGCGTCTCTTTCTTCATAAAGGGGGACAAATCCTGCTGGCTTCCATTTCCTTCCTGTCGTAGATGTGACATCTGGAGCTGCTGCCATCTTGTGACTACCAGGTGGCAAAACGAGAGAAACAGCAAGAGAGTTGTAGAGACAGCAACCCTGACCTGCTGAGCCTCCAAACCGAGACAGCCACCACGCGCCCCCAGACCTCATGGTATGTGAGAGAAGTAAACCCCCGTTTGTTACAGAACTGCCGTCTTCTGTTACGTGCAACAGAGCACATCCCTAACAGAGTGAAGAAAACGGAAGCCAGCTCTACTGAGAACCTGGCACATTCTAGCCCAGGACTGGGCACTTTCTCACCATCTCATTTAATGTCCACAAGAGCTTCATAAAAACACATGTTCAGGGCTTTCCCAGTCCTGCCCAGACTGTTGATTCATCCTTGCCCAAGTACAGGGCAACCATATCATACCTAGTCACCTGGCCTTGGACCTTGAACCTGGAGATCATGGGCTCCAAGCTGAGCCAAGGGCCTGTCCCAGACATGTGGCCATGACAAGCACATGCACAAGAGCACCAACATATGTCCTGTACATTAGGATGGGGAAAGAGCATCTGACACCAACCCATGCCCCTCTGTCTATCCACTCCTGCCTTACAGCTTTTGAAACACCAACAGTCCTTGATTAGAGAGATCTCAAAGCACAGAAATGCGTTAGGAGAGCAAGACACCCTATCACCTGAGCCCTTTGAAACACAAATTATTTTGCTTGGTTTTCACTTAGGAAAAGGCCCACCTAGATGTTTCTAATTCTGGCTACCAGTTTAGGAAAGCAGTCATGTCCCAAAACACCCAGGTATAATGGTTTTTTTCTAGCCAGGTGAACATTACTCCTTTCCACTGGCACATCGAGGACCTGTGCCCCCCAAAACAGAAAGCAGCTGAAAAGCACTGGGAAAGAGTCCAAAAATGCCCTACAATTAGTAGCACACAATCCAACATCTTTTTGGCAAAGGCTTCACTTAGAGAAAGCATGGATCCCTTCTGAATTCTACTGGTCCCAACCCAACGAGGCAAGACCAGAGCGTGCAGAGATGTTTCCAGTCTGTGCTCCCTTCGCACATGGTTCACTTATTCAACCATTCAACACGTATTTATCGAGTGCCAGACACTTTGCCAAGAATTGGGGATGAAACATATTCTCAGGTCTCCTTAAATTACTTTCCTCCAGAGCTTGCTTCTGCAGCACATACGCTGAAATTGGAAAGATACACGGAAGGTAAGCGTGGCCCCTGCACAAGGCTGACACACAAATTTGAGAAGCATTCCCTATTTGGTTCTGTATCTCACCCCAAGATCTGGCCCTTCAATTTCCTGTGAGCTCACACCAATAGATGATCCTTACTTGCCAAATATGTTAGAGTTTGTACCTCCTACTCCTGGGCCTCGTGCCACCTGTTGGGGCTTCAGAGCAGGGTAATGAGTAGGAACTGAAAGTCTTTCAGATTCACAATGGAAAATTTTATAAATAGACATTTCTGCTTGAGAATATGTCAGTTTTATGTTTTTCACAGTTCTGTTACTGTAAATATGTCAGAATATGTCAGTTTTATGTTTTTCACAGTTCTGTTACTGTAAATACCAAGGATTCTTTCATGGATTCATGAATTCTTTCATTCTAAAGTATTTTGTCAAACGTGTGTCAACCAAATTAACAACAAAAGTTTTCATGTCAGCAGCAACAACAACAACAAAATTACTTCCCCTCCCATGTAATGTTATCATCGACCAGCAACCATCATGTGCTCACCGTGCTGTACGCAGGATATCATTTAATTCTCATAGCAGCCACATGAAGTAGGCACCATAATTATACACATTTTACAGATGAGAAAGCTGAAGCCTGGAGAGCTATAGTAACCAACCCAAAGTCACACAGCTAAACTGTGGCAAAGCTGGTTTCCAAAAGCAGAAAAGGCAACGATTCATCCAAACTTCCTTCAAACTCCCAGAAAATTCCTTTGCTTCCTTTAAATTCAAACACGATTTCATCTGTGAGCCACTGTCACTCACTCCCTTCTTTGATTCTCCTAAAACTCTTGTCTAGTCAATGCAATGAGAAAAGCGTGAAGAGAGTTAATTACTGGTTTCCACTATTGTAGCGACCCTGGGTGGGGTCTGACGTCCAGCATCTTCAGGGTGCAGTACCACACTTTCCTCAGTGGAATCACCTTCTGATCTCAGTTTATGGGATTCAAGTCGATCTAACTTCCCCCTGGCTCCAGAGTTGCACGTGACTCAGCTCTGGCCAATCCAGGTCATTTATTCCCATGTCCAGAGCGATCAGCTCAGGGATGTGCCCCTGGCCCAGTCACATTCAGGAAGATGTGATCTGGGAGTCTTGCATCTGTTGAGAGAGAGGCCCTCGCGCCTTTCTGGTGGACTTGAATTAGAGCATGTGGGTCTAGAGCTGCTGGCAGCCACCTTGACCCCACATGGAACCTAACAGGAAGGACGATAGGGCCAACCTATGGAGGGGCTGTATGCTGTGAATTGAATTGTGCCTCCCCAAAATTCATATGTTGAAGCCCTAACCCCTAACGTATGGTACATGGACATGGGGCCCTCGGAGGTCATTAAGTTTAGATGAGGCCATGAGGGGGCAGCCCTCATGATGGGGTTAGTGCCCTTATAAAAGGAGATACCAGAGAGCTTTCTTGCTCTCTCTCTCTCTCCATCATGTGAGGACACAGTGAGAAGCCACATCTGCAAGCCAAGAAGAGAGCTCTTGCCAGAAAATGAACCTGGCCGGGCCTTAATCTTGGACTTTCCAGCCACCAGAACGGTGACAAAATAAATTTTCATTGTTTAATCCATCCAGTCTATGGTATTTTGTAATGGCAGCCTGAGCTAACACAGCGCGGGTCCTCGTTGCATCCCCTGAGCCTTAAATCCAGCTGTTCCAGAATCCATCAACTCCCTGAAATTTCCATTGTGTGAGACAAAAAGTAAATCGCTTTTTTTTTACTCAAACCATCTTGGATTCATTGAGAGAAGTTCCTCCCACCTGCAGGGCCTGTAAGCTCCTTGGGAGGAAGGCTCCACACAGTTTCTGAGGGAAGGAGCCATGCAGCCTCTACGGCTTTTAATAGGAACAGAAGCCTGTTCAGCATCTCCAAAAAGGACCCCAGAGTACACGTGATGGATACTTTCTGGTTTACTATGGAAGTCCTCCCTCACAAGTACAGCCAACTGCAATCTTATTGTTTGACTATTTCATGCCAGCTGCGTGCAGGCAATATCCATACTGGCCGAATGAGATATATGCAATCCCATGTGCCTTAGAGTTTAGCATCTCCTCTAACAAGCCACACCCGGCCTAGTTAAGTATTCCTTCCTCCTCTAATGTTTTCTTTACATCTCTCTCACACGCTTCCACATCATCTCAATCTTTCCAGCCAGACTGTGAGTTCCATGAAGGCAGGAACTGTGTCTTGTTCATCTCTGTATCCCCAACACCTAACACAGTAGCAAGCACATAGATGTCACTCCATAATTGTCTAAGGAGTGGATATACGAAAGAATAACTTCCTCTTTAACCTTCTTTCCAGTGGAGAAAATAAAATTACATCACTATTCAATAGTTGTGTATTTAGGGAACAGTTTAAAGGGCTGTAACAAAAAGACCCAAATTTTGGTGACTTAAACAAGATAGAAGTTTATTTCTCTTTAGTGTAAAGGTCCCGAAGGAAGAGGTTTAAGGCTAGTGAGGGAGTTCAGCCATCTATAACATACAGTTTCCTCTCCTGGGTCGAAAGTGGACTGTTGTTCCCCGATCCTACCCTTATCACAGCCTGTAGGGAGCAAGGGAGAATATGCTCCTGCCTTTGGACAGCACAGCACAGAAGCACAGACGCTCTCGCTTCTGCTCATATCTGGAGCCACACGGCCACCTAGCTGCAAGGGATGCTGAGAAATGCAGCCGCTGACTGGGTAGCCGTGAGCCTGATTCAAACTATTGTTGGGATTTCTGCTGTGAAAATAAGCAGAGAATGAACACTGGTCATCGTACTACATACGGATTTAGGCCAAGTGTGCACTTCTTACAGAACTTCTAAAATAACTTAAGACACACTTGCAGCTTTTCTCCATTACCAAGCCCCTCCACTGTGGAATAACTCTAACCCTCGGTGTACATGCCCTCATCTCTACGACCACCCCAAACCCTGCTCTGTACAGGCCTGGGGTCCTGTCTTGTTCTCACCACTTACCCCAGAGACTGGAGTCCCCTCCCCCAAATCCCTGGCCCACAGCTGGGTTCCACAAAGCTATTTTCAATACCTAGAGAAGCATTGTAACATTGGGGTTGAGCACGTCAGCTCCACAGCCAGACATGAGTTTATCATTTTCTAGCTGTGTGACTTTTGGCAAATTACATAATCTCTCTGTGCCTCAGTATCCTCATCTGTAAAGTGGCAATAGCGGTGTCACTTGTAAGGTTGTTGTAGCAACTCATTTTAATTCTCACCTGTGGAGAGTTTAGCATAGGGCCTCGCACACAAGAAGCCCTCAGAATATGTTAGTTAGCTGCTGCTTTTACTTCCAGTTCATCCACACTCAGACAATACGTGCTGGCCTGGACCTCTCTGTATTCTTGCTTCCAATTGTTTCTATGTCACCAAACAGGGCCCTGGGACCTCTGACTGGCCACCAGGGTACTGCCTGCCTATGGAGACTTCTGCTCGTTATCTTTCTGAACAGTGTTCTGGGGCCTCAAACTTCAACCTGTCAGTAAATATTAGGTCCATCTGCAACCCATGTTCCCACCTGGCCCACTTCATCCTGACATTGGCCTAATCTTGGATCTGACAGGTGTTTGTAAAGTGAGAAGGACCTGTAAACTTAGCAGCAGTAAAACAAATTATTTTTTCCTCTTTTTTTTTTTTTTTATTGGTGAGGAAGATTGACCCTGAGCTAACATCTGTGCCTGTCTTCCTCTAGTTTGTATGTAGGACACCACCACAGCATGGCTTGATGAGTGGTGTAGGTCCATGCCCAGGATCCAAACCTGCAAACCCCAGGCCACACAAGCAGAGTGCACAAACTTAACCACTACACCACCTGGCCAGACCCTAAAACAAATATTTTGATGAGAAGCAAGGCCTATTAATTCAGTCTCCTCAGGAAAATTTCAATCACAGAAATAGCACACGTTTCAATAAAAGAGAGCAGTCTTCAGACCAACTGACGATGAAAGCTCCAAGAACGAGATGCAATTAGAAGCTGCCGGCACTGCAAATACTTTGCCCTTCTTCAAGAGTCCCAGCTAGTTACCGTTTCATCATCTGCAGCAGGAAATTGCAGAGAAAGAGCTTCAACTGCTCTCTTAGTGCAATGTTCAGACAAATCGGAATCATAAAATTCCTCCCCTTGTCTTCTTCTCTGTCTCTTAGCAGCACTCGTCTCCTACCCTCCGCCTTAATTATGGATTTCAAAAAACCAAGATTTGGAAGGAAAAAATTAGCTGATTCCATGGACATAAGACAGGCTCTCTTCTCCCCTTGGTGCGCTGATTACAAACTCAAGATGACGGTTAACGCCTCCACCTTCACCTCCAATAGTCCTTTTTACTGTCAGAGTATTAATTTATTTACCAGCTGCAAACGTCAGATGGACAATTCGAACTCTCTTAAGCAATACAAAACAAAATTGGGGCGGTGGGACTTATTGACACATGTGACTGACAAGTTAAGGAGTGTCAGTTTCAGACACGGCTGCATCAAACACTCAAAGGAGATGCGAATCTCTCTCTTTCCGTTCCTCTGCTCCACGCTTTCCTGTTTGGCTTCACGCTCGGGCCGACCCTCCTCCTCCGATCACTTACTCCCACAGGGACTTCCTGGTCAGGGCCTTCATCAGCACAACTTTGGTTCCCAAATGGGCACCTGGCCCATCGCTACGGCTAAAGAGGTCGAATGCTTTAGACTCGGGCTGTCCGATAGAACTTTCTGCAGTGACGGAAGTGTTCTATATCTGTGCTGTCCAATATGGATGCCCGTAGCCACATGTGGGCACAGAGCACTGGAAATGTGGCAAGTGCAGCCGAGTATGTGAAAATTAAATTTTATTTAATATTAATTCATTTAAATTAAAATAGCCACAGGTGGATATTGGCCACCATGTTGGGCAGAGCATCTCTAAAAGGTCAGGCATGGGGCACATGCCTACTCCAACCGCACGGCGTGAGAAAAAGAAAGGAAGCTAGAGATGCTAGTACCAGAAGAAAGGGAGATGGTTGCTGGGGATGCAGAGACAATGGACGGTTTCTGGTTGGCAC